ATATTACATAGTTTGCTAATGACGCTTAATAACATTGAGCTTTTTGGAAAGCAAAACCATTTTTACATAGTGGGTGAGCCCGTGTTCTGCAGGATTGTAAAATACGTGAATGAAATAATATGTGCTGGTTGGTTATGTATAGGCGTATTCATACACACTACCCGCCGTATTCGATCTCAAATGTTTTCAGAGCAATACCTGCTTCCGTTATATATATAAGACCGTCCGGCACGCGACCTTTCAAGGAACTAAACTTTAAACAAAAACATTAGGCCTAATCAATTAACAAAATAGGCCTACGTGATGCCGACCGCACCAGTAATGGAGGCGATTTACGAGGGGGGGAAACACACATGTATATATAGTTCACGTTTTGTTTTGTTGTATTTTTTTTAACTGATTATGTTCTAATCTTATTTTATGTCGTTATAAAATACGCGTGTGCCGATCATGCCTGTCTGATTTTGATCAGCATTTTGGTTGGACCTCAGAGGCACCTGTTATCTGACGGGTATTTATGATCACCTGCCTTCATTGGATATTGGAGCAATATTCATTATGACATAAGTGTCAGACGTTTAGGCCTAATTGCTCCGCCATTTTCACGGAAGTTTGTATTTTTTTCCCGTCTGAACCTACCAACACTAACCATGCTGTATCGCCTAAGTACTGCATTATTAAGATCAGGTAGGCATATATTTTATTTTGTTTTTTATTGTTGTTAAAATGCACTTTGTACCAAACGTGGTATTTAGTATAACGTTATTGGTTTGTCAACTGGCCTATACAATAAGTAATGAGTTATTAAAAGTAGACCTGGTTCATAATATTTTCTTTTATACAATTGGCCTATTCTCTTGTAACCGAATGAAGTTATCTCAATATCTTTTCCCTTGTAGTTCTGCAAAAATGGCATACTGTAGTTATAAACTTATTTGATAATCCAATGTTGAATAAGGAAGAAGTCTATAGGTTTTGTTTATAAGTAAAATTCTCAGGCCTTAGACAAATGAGTGTAATGCTTTGTCTACACAATCAAATTTTATGTGACAAAAAAATGTTAGTGATGTGCCCATATATGGGTACGATGACGTCATATCACATACTATCAAATTGCATCAAAACAAGTTGAACATGTTCAACTCTTTTTTTCCATCACATTTTATGTGACGTTTTTTTGATGAAATTTGATAGTGTAGACAAAGCTTAAGCCACTGTTAGGCCTGCATGCCCTTTTACTGAGACTAATGAGTAAATGTCTAGTGTTTAGATCAAAATAGCTTACTGTATAGTTGAAAATTGTGTCGGCACTTTATCATCTTACAGGGCTGGAGTTAAATGTTAGGGTTAGAATCATCATTACCAGCATCACGATCACTATCAGCAGCGTTCAGCAATCACCATTATCATCATCATCATCATCATCAGCAGCAGCAGCAGCAACAGTAGAAGCAGCAGGATTAGCAGCATTTTCACTATTATTATGATCATCATCGCTATCATCGGCATTACCATCATCACCATCATTACAGTATTAAAATTTTCATTATTATTGATAGGGCCTATATGCAAAAATATGGAGATAGGCCTTATACAGGAATTTAGGCCTATAATTTTTGTTTGCTTACTATAATGTTCATTTTGTGTTTTGATCTGAATTGAATAAAATAAATAAACTGAAATATGTATAATTTGATTATCTTAAAATCAATTTTACAAGCTCTGTTTATTTTTATTGCCTACAAATGAAAACAAAGAAATAGACGAGGCAATTCAGCTAGTCAGACCTTACTAACCCACTCACCCATCCTTCATAAATCAAATACAACAGAGACTAGGCCTATTATACTATGCATCAAAATATATGTTAAACCTACACTGTAAAAGCAGCGTGGAAAATTTAAAAGCATAGCCTAATGTGATCTGACTTTATATTAAATAGGTAGGCTTATGTACAGCCCATTTAATGCTAAACATACGTAAGAAACCTAAACACAATAATTAGGCATTTTCTAATAGCAATACTACATTTCTGATTATTTCTTATTTTTAAATTCCTTAAAGTTCGCCATTTGAGGAACATGTCACGTGGTATGGCAGTCAGTCCTCAAGAACTACCAAGTGTCGACGGTAATGTCGTATTGTTTACGTCACTAACTATATTTCTTGGATCTGTATTGTTGGTAAGTGTCCCCTTTCACTTCAGTCTGTCAACTTACAGGCCCGTAGGCACAATTTTTGATGGGAAGGTGCGTTTTGCGACCGAAGTGGGCCTTCTGATGGGCGACCGCCTATGATCCCCGTGAGAGGCGGGTCTCTTATACACATCTAGAGGGGGGGGGGGGGGCGAATCCCCGGAGGTTCCGACAAAGTAGCATTTTGAAGGTCTATGGATATCTCAAAACACCTATTTCGTGAATATTTTATTTAAATTTCCATTAATTTGGGTGTTTTTGGGACCAAGAAGTAACGTTATTATGTCCTGTAGGGCCTACATCTGCAGGCATACAGATAACATTGTTCATATTATAGATCAATCTGCAATCACTGGAGACGATCAATTTCAACAAATTTCATATCATATTAAACATCAATGACCTGGCAAGTATATAATGCAATGCATGCTATAGCATTTTGTGATAATTAGGAACAATTTGGTGAAATAATAGGTTTTATAAAAGTGGACCTTTTTGAATTGGGGGAAGGGCGTCTGCATCCCTGCCTACGGGTCTAAACGTGATGGTCCTTATTAGCGATACGTCACGTTGGGTTTGCTTACATTTAATAAATCCTTCCAGGCCCGTTAAAATGGCATAATATGTCATTGATCGCCTGTGTAAGTGCATCCTGTAGTAGATATTTTGATTAAGAGTGCACCATATCAGGAGGAAGCCAGTATATCTTTCTCAATATGTTACCATTGTGGCCTATATTAGATACCATCATGAATAAAAGATGTATTTTTGTATTGTATTTAACCTTGTTTCAGCGTTAATTATCCCTTCATAACGTATTCATTACCCAATGCATGTAACAGAATCACAGTATGTTTACTCGATTAAAAATACAAGCGCTAACGGCGTCAAGCCATTTCTTCTGTGTAGTGCTGAAGCCGGACACTTACTGCATAGGCCTACGACGGTCCAACTCCGCTCGCTGTGAGCGCTAGACGACACGACACCGTCTGTTGATTGCCGGTGGCAGTCTAAATAGATCGTCATGAAAAGCGATCCTTTGCACGCACGTCGTGGTGTTCCTTCTCCATAGAATCGTGTCGCCGACGACCGTCCGTCGGGAGCACTGAGTGCCCGACGGACAACACACCTGACAAACCCTGTCAGCCCACGCTACTCAAACGTTATAATGAAATGGAATCCTAATATAACAGGCACGATGTGCTGTCACATTAATTTTGATGATGACTTTGCAATACATCAATATGTTGGTGAGATTGAACCTCACGACGACAGTGTAGAAATCCATTTTGATTACCGCATTTATATCCATAAATTTATTCTCATCGCTGAGTTGGCTCGACGCATGTGCCTAAATTTAACTCTCTTGAACATATTAGCATAATTATTTTTTGATTTAATACTTTACAGATATCGCAAGTCGATATGCCAGAACTCCGCTGTGTGCCCGACAAAAACAGCTTCAAAGGTTTTTAAACGAATGAAACATGTTTTCAGCAGATACAGTACCTCCATGGTAACATAAAGACATCTCTTAGCTGTGTTGCCATAAGAAAAAAAAACCTGAGGTGCAGTAAAAGCAACAGAAATTGATGCTTCTGTAATTTTAGAAAGCTAGCCATAAAGAACGTAACAAAACATAACAAAAATGCCCAAGTAGTCATCAATTAAACGGCCGATATAATTTAAAGATGCTCTACATATTAAACCTTAGTCTAATTATGAGGTTTAAGGAATAGATTTTGGCCGTGAGGAAAACAAAGACATACGGTAGTGGCCTACTGGTATTTGTTGCCGTCTAATTACAGACATTCGACAGCCATTGACATAATTATGTTGGTACTGTGCACAAACTGTTACAAAACATACAAATACGGAAAACTAAATGCTATTTACAAAATTGCTTAAATTAATATTTATTGATGAAAATCTCTTTGATAAATTGACTTCTACCAAATTGACTATCATCTGTGATGCGTTGAGCGACAGATTTGGTTTTCTTTCCTCTTGTTAAGCTTGTTGCATAGTTAAATGTGAGAATTTTATAATGTTATAGTAAAAGAAGTTGAATCCAGGACATTGGGATTGTAAGAACATCATCTTTCAAGCTAAAATAATAAACATGCCTGCTTATTAATCGTTTATTGTTACTTGTGCTCCATTGCAAACATGCATATACTATCAAAATAGAATTTAGAATACAAATAAAGTATTTAGTTATATATTGATTATACAACCGGTATTTGAAAATGTGTTTAATGTTTTCAAATTGTGTTTATTTTTTCCAAGTTTCATACACAAAATTGTGTATAACAGATGGAGATTCCACAGTCAAACACATGACGATAAGAATGATTATGATGATGATGATGATGGTGATGATGATTACATTATGTTCATGATGATGAAGATGATGATTATGTGGTATTGATGATAATGATGAAGATGATGATAATTGTATGGTAATTGTGGTGATGATAATGATTGTATGGTAATGATGATGATGATGATGATGATGATGATTGTGATGATGATGATGATGATGATGATGATGGCGATGGAAATAATTATGATAATGGTGAATAATAAGGATGATAGTTAAAAGATGATGATAGATTATGACGATGATATTGATATTTTAAGAATTTATATAAAATTGATTTCAAAGTATGTTTCGTTAATTGAAAAATATATCAATAAACGTTTCTTGCTTTTACAACGAAATATGCCAACTGATATTATCTTGCTAACGCTGGTCTTATTCGAGTAGTCCCGTCTTAGTGTAATTATGTGACATGTTACTTGTTACACTCATAACCATTGCGCGCCAAATGAGCCGACCTTTAATAGGAAAGTGTATTTTCAGTTCATAGCGATTCAATAACTGAAAGTAAAATTGATCATACATATCACTGTAGCTTTGAGTTTAACCTAGCTGTAACTGGTTTAAGGGCTTAAGTTAGAAAACGGAAATTGCGTTTAAATAATTTAATCAACTGTCAACAAAAAAAAAATGTTTAAATGGTCCTCATATCCACACCCTGCTGCGGATAGTCACCAAAATTGGATCATTTCGTCATTTAACCATGAAAAAATATTCTGCAAAGTGCCATTTTTATCCATATATAACTGGGACGTTAGGGGTTTAAATGACCCTTAAATTTACACCCTAACCTGGATCGTCTCCTACACATAATAATATCTTCCTTGTAACTTGGTTTAAACTTTCCCGATACTTTCATTCGGATCCGTTTTTTTTTAATATCTGGTCTGAGACGTTTTCCTTTGAATGGTTCTCATATTCACAACCTACGCAGGATCATCACTGAAATTCAGTCATTTTTTACTGGACCTTTACAAACTACTTTATAGAAAGTTTCATTTACACCCATTGAAAACTTTTTATACTTTTATACTTTTTATATTTACGTCTGCGATCTCAAAAATTTAAATGACCTTCTAATGTACACCCTTGACTGATTCTTCGCCAACACAATACTATCTTCCTTGTAACTTGGCTAAACTTTTTCCGAATGTTTCATTCAGATCAGTTGTTTAATCCGTTTTCAAAATATGTGGTCTGGGATGTTTTCTATTAAATGATGCTCAGATCCACACCATACTGTGGATCGTCACAAAAATTTTATCATTTTTGTTTTCAATACCTTTACAAAGTATTATAGAATGTTTTATTTAGACCCATTGGTTTTTTCTTTTTAAAGAGATATTGAGGTCTGGGTCCTCAAAAATTGAAAAGACTCTCAAATTTACACCATTCACTGGATCATCACTACCACATAAAAATGTCTTCCTTGTAACTTGATTAAACTTTCCCGTAAGTTGCATTTACATCAACAGATCGGTTTTTGAAAAATCCAGTGTAGACTGTTTGACCTTAAATTACTTTTATTGGTCCTTAAACGCACACCCAACCTTTGATTGACACAATTAAATATTAGGAGGCACATCCTTGATATATGACCTATGCTTCGGCAAAGCAGGGAAAATGATAAGCATGGGAAGTGACCAAAGTGACGGCCAGAAAAAAAAAAATAAAATAAAAGATAGGAAAAATATATGCAAGAAAAAAGAAATCAGAACAAAAACAATGGCTTTTCTCGGTACTGCTGGGAAAAGCCAATAATAATAATACTTAATTGGTCCTCATTCAAAATCGAATATTCGGGTTGGGCACGTGGAGACCCACTGAAGCCCAACTTAACTACAACACATAACGAATACATAGGCCCACGGATACAAACATTGTCCATACATTATTAATCCGTTTACCTCTAAATATTAGGGTTATTCGAGGAGCCAAGCGACCAGACTCAAATTAAAACTCAAAATAATAATAATAAAGTTCTTAACCGTTCTGAATCAACAGATCAAGTGGCTGTCATTGACTACCACAGTAGTTGACAAGCTTCAACAGTGCAAAACAAAAGAAGGTCCCTAGAGGGGGAAAATATGTTAGCTGACCTTATATTTCACTTTCACGTTCCTTGTTTTTGTTTTCTATTTTAGTATTAGCTAACCGTCTAATTACTTACTTATCTTCTCTTTTACTTTCATTCTATGCTTCCTTAACTTTCCGTGATTCATATTTACCTACCTTTTCTTTCTTTAGTCTCCCTTTTCCTTTTACTTACCTTTTCTTTCCTTTCCCTTTCTTTCTAATGCCTCCTTATTCATTGCTTCTTTAGCTTAAATTACCTTTGTAATATTTCCTTATCTTTCTTCTTTTTCTTTGTTTCCTATGTAACCTTGATTTTTCTTGTATTTACTTTATTTCTTTTCTTTCCTTTTCATTTCTTATGCTTTTTCATACATATCTCATTTTATTTTATCTTATCGTTTCTTTCATATCCTGATTCCTTCTTGTCCCTTTCTTTCTTTTTACCATTTCTTAGGTTGCTTTGAATAACCTTTCTTTTTTCTTTCTTATAATTCGTTCTTTTCATTCTTTTTTTCTTTCTTATATTTACTTTTCTTTTCTTTCATTTTCTTTCTTTTGATTTTAGTTCTTTCTTTACTGGCACTGGCTGAGTATGAACCGGGATCTTCGGCACAAGAAGCAGGAAAAATCTCGGCGCACCGGTCAGTTCGTATTGTGTTTTGTTTATATTATTATTATTATTATTATTATTATTATTATAATATTATTAAAAGTAAAAGATGTGTATAAGAGACAGATATATATAATATATGCAGTATAATCTATGCACTTACATTGTTGCCTCCGGATCACTGGATATAGGAAGGGTGAATCAAGATACCGTAAAATAATTATAAACAACATTTCGAAATTTGATCATAGGGAAATTTAAAACTATACTTTCAAAATGAAGAAATGTCTTTGTGTCTCGTGACCACCCAATTAGATTTGTATTGCTTTTGTTGAAAAATATTAATAATAATAATAATAATAATAATAATAATAATAATAATAATAATTTTCGACTTATATAGCGCATATTGTAGAGACCTCTATGCACTTACACTATTGCCTCCGGATCACTGGATATAGGAAGGGTGTATCAAGATACCGTAAATTATGAAACAACATTTCGAAATTTGCTCATTTAATAGGGAATTTAAAACTATACTTTCAAAATGAAGAAATGTGTTTGTGTCTCGTGACCTCCCAATTAGATTTGTATTGCTTTTGTTGAAAAATATTAATAATAATAATTATAATAATAATAATAATAATAATAATAATAATAATAATAATAATAATAATAATAATAATAATAATAATAATAATAATAATAGTATTGATGGGGACATATGCAGCATGCTTTTAAATATTATAATATTGTCCAGAGAAGCAAATCATATTTGCCACAAAAAATAAATAAATAAATAAAAATGTGGCATGCCTAATGGTCAAGATGACATCACATCATGGCATATATGGTCATGCAACAGTTCAAAGACAATCTGATAATCTGTACAGACCTTTGGGCTAAAACCGTTGTTAAGAAATATTATTATTATCGCCAAATATAGAATACATTCTACATTCTTCATTCATTAAAACGGAATAAACTGCCCGACTATCTAGAACATCAAATATATGTGTAGGCCTATTAACAGTAAACCCGTCTTAGTTTTCCGGATATTCAGAATAAACCAGATTATCTTTATCGATAAATATTGTAATAAATCCCCTATTAGTACGTAAACATTGCGTGAACAGGGGTATTGTACTTAGATGGAATCAAATTAATGGTATGACGTAGACAAGAAAATAAGCCTCCAGATCCGATTGAACTTCCCTGGAAATGTTAATTAGGTTACAAATATAGCTTGGTTTCCAAACAATCGCTCACCTTATCAGCGACGTCGCCGAAAGCTGTCGGGTAGTTTGAACATGGACCTATTAATATATATACACAACTTATTAATAGGACCATGGTTTGAACCTGGTTACTTTACCGATTGTGTTGCAAACGAATCAGGGTGCATTGCTAGCTGCCCCGACGCAATCGGAAGAAGGCACCTCGATTCGCTTGCAACGCAATCGGCAAAGTTGAACCAGGTCCAACCTTTCCCCGACAACAGCATCACTGAAAGATGTCAGCGATAGTGTGTAGCGATTGTATGAAGACAAGGCTTATTTTTGAAGGCCCT